AAGAGTGAGAATATCGACGTTGAGACTTGAGAGGTGAGGGTAGAGGAGACCAGATGCGTGTGGTAATTTTTTGGAAAACTTGAAGTCTTTGATGAGTTTTATAAATTAGTGGTAAACCAGTGACTAAAATAATTGGAATTCGACACCAAAACTTGGTCTCATTTTCAACAACATAAGCCATGTTACTAAAACCATATTTTCAACAACGTGACTTGTGTTGCTAAAAGTTAAGGGCGAGTGTGGCCACCCACCTTTCAACAACATATGCCTTGTTGCTAATTACTTTTGAATAGTACAGCCTATTTTTAGCAACATAGTCCTTTTCCATCATTTGCTTTTCCTTTTCTATAATGTGTGTGTGAATGGTTTGAATTTGGGAGTATAATAAAAATCTCTTTTATTGGAACCTTTGGTTTGCTTTTAATTCTTTTTTTCATCTATATTGTATAGGCTTGGGTTTGTATGAAAACAAAATACAAAATTTATATTAATTTTACTACCATTCTCACTTGGGTAAAATTAAGGTTAAATGTTAATTTTGCTTGTACAAGTTTTATCTGAAATTTTTTATGCATTTTTTAGTTCTTCAACTATGAAAAATACAATTTTTTAGCATTTCCGCCAATTAATTGCTTAAATCTATTCAAATGTGCATATTTTTTGTTTCTTTAACTTATAAGTTTATGGTTTAAAAATGTGCATATTTGAACATAAGAACTAAAAAAAGATCATTTGGCAAAAAAGTCTAGAGAAGTTAAATGGTGACTGCTATAATTACTAGTCACTATTCATGTAAGGCCACTATTAACGACAATAGTAGCCGCTATTGTTTAGTCATTATGCTATGCCGTTATAAAAGTTGCTATAGCTATTATTGACAACACTTTGGTTTTGTATTATTGACAACACTAGTATATAACATGAAAGATGCTTTCATGAAGATCTAGAAGATGTTCAAAGGAAATGGGGGATAATACCAATGCCTGTTATTGCTAAATAATATTGACACTAGTTTTAGATAAGTTTTGTTTAGGCAATGGTTTCCTTTCTATTTTGTTTAAAGAAGACACAAATTGTTATTGTTGTTGTTGTTGCTATTATTATTATTATTATTATTATTATTATTATTATTATTAAAGCATCTCTCTAGTAGCAAGCGTCACCCTTGTCTTCTTACTACCTTTATTTACTAGTCATAAGACTAGGTATTGGGTAAAATGCCTCTAGTTCGTATAAATATGGAGAGGGAATTTCTCCATTGTCAATCTCATTTTTCTCAAAATAAATAATAATTATTACTTAATAATTACTCCTTATTTTGTGTGTCCAAAATTGCCAAAACATTTTTAATAAAATTTTTGCATATGTTAATTTATCGATGGTATTTTGGTAAATTTAATATCTAGCTTGTACTCTTATTTTATGCAATCCATATTGAAAAAAATTGATTATTAATATTTGGGTAACTTGAAGACTACTTTTTTTTTTTTTTTGCAATTTCAACATATTTGCATTGAGTCTGCAGAAAATCAATTTATTGTCCAATCATAATTATAAGATAAGTGAGACATAATGTTAAATCTCATTCATCATGTGGTTTGACTTGGAGTCTTGATATTTTTAATACTAAAACATCTTGGTTTTCACCTTTTAAGTTTTTATTTTATGAAGACATATTATACATTTTTTATTCTAACCTCAAGGGTTTGATCTACTTATAAGTGTAGTCTTGTAGGCTACATCTGGTAGCCTAGGAAATTAATTTCCTTAAATGCATTGCATTGATGAAGAGGTGCACTGTTAACATTATGCAAGAAGGAATTTGTTTACAGCATAAATTGCAATTTTATTAGCTGATACAACGTGTTACATTATTTGAACAAATGGTTATGATTGAGCCATGTCAAACCTGATGTTGCTATGATTTGGAGCATGATATACCTTGCTAATGACTGTCACGTGTTCAATCAAATTTGGTGTTTTTGGCAATAATCTCTTACTTATTTGGTGTCACTTGATATTAGTGGAAATCATGGCTTATTTGGTCGAATTTGGTCTTTTTGACCAAGTTTGTTGTTGAGTTGTTTAACTAACCCATGAAGTTTGTCACATTTTGCACAAATGGGAGTTGGTGGTCACCATCTACCTTGAGACATAAAAGAGAAAATTCAAAAGAAGTAGTAGGCAGTCAACCCTACACACAACTCATCAAATTCAACTTTCTAGTTTCATAGATATTATTCATACAACTCATAGATATTAATTTTAGGACAAGTTTTAGTCAAGTTTAGGTTAATTCTAACTTCTACAAAAATCTCTTTGTTTATTTAGTGATTTTGAGATGAGTGTCATTTTTTCAAATATTAACTTTTATGGTTTTCACACTTCTCTTTTATGTTCAAGTTAATTACAGTCTTAGTTGGCTAAACATTATAATTTCTTAGATTTACTCTAGTTTCAAGCCCATTTAATTTTCCAATTGTGCAATGATTTAATTTAAACTACCAATAGCTTGTTAGTGTAATCTATTAATACATTTAAATAAGGCTCATTCATTTCACTTGTTTCATTTATTGTGAATCTTTTAAACTTCTAGTTATTGGTAATATTTTAAAATTTTTAGAATTATCGAAGACAATTAGTAATCTATTTTGTAAAAAGACATCACTCTCTCTTATAAATCATCTAAAGGCCTAGAATTCAACTTAAAACCAACTTTCTTCCAATCATCCAAACAAAGGTCAATCAAATGAAAATAGAAGGTCGTTGAAAAATTCTTATTTTCTTATTTTATAGCAAAGTGGTACGCTTGCAACTTAAATTTATTGTGTGTGCAGGTTGCCTGATGATAATTTTTAAGGCAACAAAATTAATCTCAAATTACTAAAAAAAAAACTTGCTTGGCACACCTTATTGTAAATTAAAAAAGAA